ATAAGAATGTTGACACACTGAAGGTCAACTGTGGAACTGGACCACCTATATACCAATTTACAAAAAGGAACTGGTAAAATTTGAATATTGTATTTTTGACCCATCCTCATCCCATAAGGCTGATGATACCAAACATACAGATTCGTCAAACTTCTGTGAAGACTATCTACTGAAATCAAATCAATGTTTAAAGACCAGTTGCCTAAATACAAACAAAGCTTAAAAATGCTTTTGAATTGCCTGAAGAGGACACAAAAGTTTCACTCAAGTACAGGATAAAGTGTCCCATTCTGCTGGTCCCTGACATAACATTTCCTCAGGTATGCCTGATCAAGCTTTTGGAAGCCAGGGTGACATTAAGCAATTTTTAATATACAAAAGGATAGAAACTATATAATTATTAAATATTATTATAAATGTATATGTATTATATTACATGTATATATACACAGACACATAACAAAAGCAGGGCATCAGTTTTTATCTATTTAAGGGAAGCCCTGGTATAAGTGAAAGATGAAAACAAAAACATCACAAAGATTTAGAGAACAGATGTGCCAACTTGAAGTTGTGACATCCCAGCACACCGTTTGTGACTCCTAAATACTTTCAACTGTCATAGGTAAACACAGTATGAACAGTTTCATCAACTCCTTTCTCTTTGTGAAAACAGTCTGATAAAAGCATCATAAAAATAACTGTGTTATTAATGAGGAATACTAGATAATATATATAAAATTACATATAATAATACAATAATTTAACATCCACAGCACTGAGCTTCAAAATCAGATTCAAACGGGTCAGCTTAACACAACCCATGGCATCTGAACATGAATTTGGGAGGCATCTGCTGGGCCAGGGGAAGGGAGTTTGGGTAAATCTGTCTCACTTAATCTGCAGTCTTGGGAAGAAGTGTAGCTTTCCAGGCCATCACTCAGCCCAAGATCCCCACGTCCCACTTCCCACCAAGCTGTGAATTCCCAAAGACTGACAAAGGGCAGGCCGGTATCATCATTTGTCAGCCAAACATTTTTAGCTGACAAATTTGGAGAGGGGAGGAAAAAAAAAAAAAAAAAAAAAAAAAAAAGAGCTTGCTTAGAAGGCAACTGCACAATGACATCAAACTGTCTATGCTGTTAACATCTTGACACTTAATGATTTTTGTTACTGGCCCCCAGCCCAACCAGATCAAAAGCACAGTGACAATTTTATCCTCCACCTTTCAAAGCCTGCACCTAAACACCATCCAGGAAACTTTCAGGGGCAAAGCCTAACATCACAAAACACAGAGAAGAAGAAAAGAGCATCAGAAAACTGGAGAAAATGCAAGCTAGCGCTATTTATCCAATAGGAAACTTGTAATCAAGAGGATAGACCACAGACTGCCTGGGAGGAATGCAGGATTTCCTGCAACTCGCTCTTGGCTGAAGTTAATTATGCCCAGCCTCAGCTTCTAAGGGATGCAGGCAGCTTGGAAGAACGCTGCCTAACAGGCACAAGCTGTTCATTCAAAAATTCTTGGGATATTTTCACTAAAAAAAGAAACAATTTATACAACTCTGACAGTGGTCAAACAGGCAAATACAGGATCCAGTGCACAACAGGAAGCCGCACCTTAATCAGCAGAAGTGAGAAGCAATACGTCCTTTACAAACTTCGTAAGAGTCAATGCAAGAAGGAGAACAATATGGTATTTCTGCTGGCATGCACACACACGCACAGCCTCCACAGACAGGCAGTACTCTGCACGTAAAGTGCTGGGATTGCTTCGTGTCAGATATTTACATAAAAAGACGGATCAAGTATGATTACTGGAATTACTCCCTCAAGGACAAATGGGTGAATAAAACCTCAAACCTGACACTTTCTTACACACACAGATTAAATAAACTGGCCAGAGCATTACGTAGGCAGGATTCTTTCTCAGGTCCCAGTTTAACTGGTATTTTTGTTGTGAGCAAATGGAAGAGGCCAAAGCACACTGGGTACAACAGCTCGGAAGCACCAGCTCATCTCCTGGTCTCTCTGACCTGCGTTGGGCACTACCACAGGATTTCCAGTCCTGATCCTCAACCACATGCAAGATGTGCAGCAGCGAGCCAGCTGCCCTGACTGCAGGGGCGAGGGAATAATTTAGCACCAGTGATAAAAGTGAAGGTTTTATAGGATTTTCCTCCCTCCAAAACAACTTTCAGCTGAAAAGCAGCTGGATAAACTTTATAATCCTCTGAACTTTTATCCTGATGTGGAGCTAAACAGACAATTAACTATCAATTTATTACCTGTATTAGAATCGGAAGCAGAAACATCTGCCCTTTTAGCAAGGATTATAGCTTTACTCGCTCAAGGGACTGAACAGAATAAACAAAGACCAGGGCAACATAAAAGCCACATACTTGACAGTTTGCTAGCAGCTCTAGCACAAAATATTGCTTCTACTAACACCACCATAGGTGCTAAACACTGCCGGTACAGCTGTAGACCTTTCATGGGCTGATGCTCACGATTAAGGGACACGTATATCTGCTGTCTGATGACCTGCAGCATTGCAGACTCACCCTCCTTATGTGCAGATCTCCATCTTTGAAGAATAACATAACAACGACCATTTAACAACTGGAACATATTTCAAGCTGTATATGTTTCCCCAAAGCAAAGAGCAGCTTGTTTTACACGGGAAGACATGCTCCAGCAGTAGTATCTCCTTCCAATGATTTTCTTTTTCTTAATAAAATGCATGTCCCTATAGAACTACATCAATAGCATAAAAAATAGAAGCCCTTTCCTTTCCTTTCCTTAGGACAGGCAAAGTGCTCTCTGACACGGCAAAGCCAAACTGCAAACAGCCCTTAAGAGGGCACGTTGCTAGAGCGTACCTGCGATATGCTGGGGTAAGCAGGTACTTAAGCCTACAGTTAGGCAAGATAGAGTTCACCAAACACCCAGGAGTTTTTCTGCGCTTGGGCTGAACCATTTATGTTACACAGAAAGCCACCATTCCTCCGCCATTTACAGAACTTGGGCATTTTGGCAAGTTCACTGATCAAAACAGAGACAAAAACTCCACACAGCTCTGACACTTGGGTCTAGGCATGCCTCTTGCTCAACAGCATGGTTAATAGCAAGCGCAGACTCTCATAGGCAAGATCATTCTGGTTGAGGTGTCTCAGATGAAATAAAACCCCTCAGATCAAGAAATCAGGGTTTGAGAAGCTTTGAGAAAGCATTTCATCAACAGTTTTACGTACAAGGAATCACTCATGTTCTTTGTGCAGGAAAGGGTATGAGCAGATGCTCCTGCAGGAAAATAAAGTCATGCTGGTTCTTTGGTTATGTTTTGTTGTTTTGGGATTCTTTATGTTGTTTTTGGCAGATGGGCAAACATCTTACTTTCATAAGGCAAACAGAATCAGAGCAAATCTTGACAGACAGGACAGTAAGACTGACCAGATCCAAATTAGATGTTTCCTGTTCCAATTTCCTCAAGCAAACTGTCTAGGCAAGTGTGTCTGGTTGTACAGCTTCTACGATGAAGAATTTCAGGACAAGCCCTACTCCTTTGAGCTAGCCAAGAAATTGAAGTGCTGTATTGGTGTTACCTAATGATGCTACCAAAAGCATGAGGACAACCCTCAAGCAACCATGTTGCATCCTGTGTTTCTGCGGGTGTGGAAATACCAGCAGTTCCACCATCAACAGCCACAACAAAGGTCAATTTGAGAGCATCAGCACCATGTTCCTGAATCAAGAACTGCCCAAGGACATCAGAAAGCAAGAAACAAGATCAGTCAGCACTAGCCAGGAAGCAAGCCAGCAGGAGGTGGCTGAAGCAGCCATTCTACCTTCATATAAGGAGGTACTAACCAGTAGGAGCTCTCACTAAAATTACATTGCAGACAAAAAAAAACCCCACCCACCACAAATTAGTCCACGCTCTTTGATGAGGTCTGCTTACAGTTTTTTGAAAACCTGACACAAGCCAGTCTTTCCCCCATGAATGAATTTACCAAAGCAGCACTTCCGAGACCATCCACATGTCTCAAAAGACTGAACTAAACTGACACAGGGCAACTAAGAAGCTGAGAAATCAGCTTCAGAATAACATCAGCGGCTCAGCAGAAAAATACGTCAAAAGTGCTCTCTAGGTATCCAAAAGGAACTGAAGTAGCTCCAGGTACCATGAAGGGATGGACCTCTAACTTGCCTTTTTCACAGCCTGTCATATGGGCCAATCTCGTACCACAGGGAGCTGGAGTCTCTTGTACCAGCCACGCAATATCTAGAAGTGTTTCAGACAATATTCTCTTCCTTACAAAGCTCATTTACCTACCACAGAAGGTAAAAGCAGGAAGCTCATTCTAACACAATAAATGAAAACAGAACAAAACCAGTGACAGCTGAAACAACCACCATTCAAATATAAAAATATCAACAATAAATGATTTAGTACCTCAGAAGCTGTAGGCAGCTATGTAATAGCACCATATTGCTCCTCAGGAACCTAGAGCATCGGAATGTTTATCCTACTCTTGCAGTCGTCTATTTCCTCTTGCCCATAAAAATATGGACAAACTATCATATTTTATAAAATCAACACTTAATTTGCTCCTGCTGTCTTTTGTAGAGAACAGAATACAGGTGGTTTAACTTGAAGGAAAGTCATGGACAACCCAGCTGTTACATCAACATACTGTACAAAAATAAAGCAGTAGCTTAAGTATGAGAGAACTAAAAAAATCCAAACTACAGATTTCTACAGACATTCTTTTTCTCCAGAAGTCT